CTGTTCTTCGTTATTTTTCTTTTTATATTTGTGCCACTGTTGCTGACATTTGTGGAGGAAGAGCAAACGGAGGAACATGTTGCCAAGAAAATCTCCTAAAATGCTGATCGCTTCGCTTGTAAATATTCACTGCTTCAACACTACTGATGTGTTCATTTTGACAGTGCAGTTGAAGACGTCGCGATTTTGGATTATTGCCAAACATTTGAACTGAACGCTAAACATAAATTTTCATTGTGATGAAGTCTGTTTTTAGGCAGCCCAAATCTTTTGTCACTTTGGAAACAGTCTTCTCAAAATCGTTATTCTGCTTGCGCTGATTATATCTCTAGCTTCTAGCTGTCACAGTAGTTTCGGTAGACTGACTAAATTGTTGAGACTTGTTGTTGAACTTTTTTACCTGTGCTGAAAAGCCCTTCAACGACCTTTTTTTTTTGGTAATGCATCACGGAACCGATCATCTTGGTTGAGCCGAGACTTTATCATTCTCTTTTGAGCTGTTTTTGAGAAGAAATTTGCCTTGGTTCTATTTAGCCAGCACCGTCACTTTTTTTTTTCATCATTCATTTCTCAATTATTTTCGCTTGAAAATTTCCTCCTTAGGACAACAAGAAAGATGCTACTCAGTGTCAAATTAGTTTTTTTTTTTTTATTTAGTTGACCGGGAAATAAAGCCCACTACGAATGAGGGATAGAACAGGCGATGGGTACTAAGTGAAGATGTACAGCTCGGGATCGAAGGGGCTGGCATAGCTGGGTTGGGCGTGATGGAACACCCTTGTAACATCACCGAATCTTGTACTGATAGCCCGAACAGCCTTGGTGTTCTTGGTACCATGTCCTTTCATTTTTTGTTGCTCGTATGTGCCTGATTTCTCTTTTTTTCCAGCTCCCATTGACTGTGCCCTTCATCTTTCTTTTATGGTATTATCAGCCCTGTAGCTTTACCTCTTGCGCAGTGAGAACATCTTTTTCGCTGTATATACTTGCCCTGTGTTATTGTGCCAATCAGATGCATTAGCGATATTGTGTAGCGGAGTGCAAGGCCTGTGGCGTTATTCCTGGCCACATGCATGGCTTGTCTTACCTCAGTTCCTTTATCGTTCGCCCGAAATTTTTCACGCTTTCTGTATTTTTTCATTTTTCTTGTTTGATTTGTATCTTACCTGTGCTCTGTATCTCTTTTTTGTTGGTCTTCACTGGCTGCTAGTGTTCGTGATTTTCGTGCTCGGTGATGTTGGGATTGTGCTTTCACTTCTTTTCTTTCCAGGTTTTCTAATAATTGTTGTGTATGGTAAACTACATCGACTAAAGAATGCTTTGCGGTGGTCGGCTACGGTGACGATTCAGTAAATTTGATTCATTTAATACAGCTGGGTTTGACTGTAAGTTCGAAAGTTGCGTAGGGAAGCTAGTCTCTTTAATGACTCGAGGAAGAAGGAGATGCATTCGGTGAGAGTTACTGCAGGAATTCGGTAGATTAGTGCAAAGAAAGCTTTACATTCGACGGGCGATATATATCTGCGCGATAATGCATCCGTTTGGCTTCATTTGTTTTGTCCTTATTACACATTTTTGCAAGTGCAAAAATGCATATTGATGAGAGGTTGCCCGTGTGTGTGTGTGTGTGTATGCGTGTATGTGTGTGTATGCGTGTATGTATGTGTGTGTATGCGCATTTCTGTCACTCAACTTTCAACTGAGCAACCGGTGAAGCTAGGAAGCTGAAATTTTTGGAACAGGTTCCCACTCCATGTGTGCTTTGAAGTTATCGTTTACATATGTCCTTACTATGCGCCAAGTTAGATTAAACGTATGGTGGTGATTTATCGCGCTCAGCGCATGTGAATGTTCACTTCAGCAAGTGACAAAACTTAGTCATCGCTTTCTGCCTCATCCTCAATGTGCATGTTATATGCTGTTTCTTTGTCCGAGCCTAAAGCAGGTAGCTCGCTTTCGACCGTCCTACATACTGTTTATTCGCGAAATTCCGGTGATTCCGCGGAATTGACAAAAAACTTCCGAGACATTTCGTAGCGTTGTGATGGTTTGTATGTGAGCATTCGGTCGTTGTGATATTCAGGTGTGTTCCGTTTCTTTTGTACTCTTCTGAGTTTTCTGTGTTATCGCATTGACTTTGCGATCAGAAAGCATCCGGGAATAAAAATGTTAACACGTGCCTACCAGTGATTGTATTGCATTTACCGCACAAAGTGCAGTGAGCGATATCTGTATTTCCATTAATATTGATGATGATGGTGATGATGATAATGTTGATGATGATGGTATTGGTGATAATAATGATGATCGTGATGTTACTGTAACTCACTGCTGTAATGAGGTACCCTGGGGTAGCTCCTTTCCATTTTCTGTCATACAAGATAATCCGGTTGCGATGAAATTTGACGTGAAAAAAGGCTAAATGAACACTGAATTTAGCTGATTGGCTGCCAACATTCTCCAGACAAATGTCACATTTCAATACTGTTTTTAAGCTCGGTGAACCCCGGGTTTTGCTTGAAACATGAAGTTTTTGCGTTGAAATTGCGGTAAATTTTGGTGGAAGACTTTATTCTGTACCAGTAAAGAGCAAATTATATGGTGAAGTGTCTAGTGTCTCTTCCTGATGGTGAAGAAAGCAGGATGATTCATTTTATGCATTTGGCTCTTCGCGTCACTGGATTGCACAGCCGTTGTACATGTGCTGACAGATAGGGATAGTGCATCCCTAGAAATCTTTATGCCCTGGAGATTTCTACGTGATTTTGAACTGGAGCTTCCGATGGGCAGTATTCATCTCAAAGCGGTGGATTAGATGTTCAGTGCGGCAAATGCGCGTGCACTACCGTACTCCTGCTGTGGGCTGGGATGTCCTTGCTGGACTGTAATCCAGCGAAATCTAATTCCAGGCAGTTTTAGTGATCAGCAGATTATTAATTTTGTATCCTGAAATCAAGTATCCTTGGCCAGCTAAAGTTAAATTTTGCAACACATTTTGTTTGTACTCTATCAACTCGCATCAATGTTTTTTTTATCATTTATTAAATATATGGGTAAGAACTCCCGTTCGTATTCCAAGCTGATGTAACTGCAACGACTTGTTGCCTGCGGATCTCACCATCCGCTGGCGAGACTGCTGATACTGTTTTTATTATTACTACTGCTATTATTATTATTGTTGTTATTATTATTATTGCTGTCATCATTATTATTATCACTATTATTACAATTATTCTTGCTGCTATTGTGGTTGCTATTATTGTTACTATTATTACTACCACTATTATTATTACTATTATTATCGCTGTTATTATTACTATTAGTATTACTATTATTATTATTACTATTATTATTACTATTATTATTATTACTATTATTATTATTACTAT